AGGAATTACTGTCTAGATTAGGCAGAGCCTGCTTTCATTTTCTTCCACCTCTCCTAAAAGCAGCAAAGACTACAATTCCCAGCGTGCAACGGGGGCTGGGTGGATACAGGCTAGCTTCAGGCCTGCATCATCATCATCAGATGGTTAATTGCTAGAGAAAGTGACATTGACAGTGGTAGAAAGGGGAAGGTGCAGCAGTGGTACAGCATGCCTGTGATCCCAGCAACTTGGGAGGCTGGAGCAGGAGGTTTGCAAGTTCTAGGCCAGCCTGGGGCAATTTAAGTGAGACCCTTGGCAATTTAGCTAGACTCTGATTCAAAACATAAAAAGGACTGAGGTTGTAACTCAGTGATAAAATGCCCCAGGTTCCATCCCCAGTACCAAAGTGGGGAAAAAAAAAAAAAAGGGCTGGGAATGTAGCTCAAGTGGTAGTGCGCTCGCCTGATATGCCTAGGGCGCTGGGTTCGATCCTCAGCACCACATAAAAATAAAAAATAAAGATTTAAAAAAAAAAAAGAAGAACAAGAAGGATGCTGAGATTGACTATTCAAAGCTTGGAAATGAACTAGACTGAATTCTCCATCTTTATCAGAGACTCTAAGAGATGAGCAGATGTTCCAGCCATTCACAAGAGAAAGCCACTGACTCCCAAGTGGGAGCTAAGAACACTCCTTTGTCTGATGGCCAAAGCTGAGCCTGAATAGAGGACTCTCCATGCAATGGGAAGAACCAGCAAAGGACCATTGGAAAGACAGTGGAGCCCAAAGGAGAGGAAGACTGCCCTCAAGGCCTGGAGGTCACAGGTCTCCACTGTTCCATATGGAACAGATGCTTACTTGAGAGAAACGCTGCAAAATGCAAAAAGTTACCTCTGCAAAATGCAAGATAAGCCCTGTGCTACTGGTCTAAGTGGGCACTTAGAAGGACAAAACAGAATGAAAAGACACAAAGAGAGCTGTCCAAATAAGAAGGCAACCAAAAGTAGAAGGGTCAGGTGAAAGCTGCACTTGAAAAGAATCAAGAATAGAATTGACCATTCTTCTCAGTATCCCTTTATATCCTGAAAAGTTGAGAACCCGAAAGAGCTTCAGGTTATAGCTATTGATAAGACTGCATTAGAAATTAAAACTGAGAAATTTAAAAATCTGTCTAGTACAAGACAGCTGGATTCTTATATCTACTTTTGAGTTCAATTTGTTGTGACATGTTGTTTTAGTTGAAGTATCTGAAGATAATCTGACTTTAGACAAAGAAGTAGTTGGAAAAGAGATTTTTTTTTTTTTTGCGGGGGGGTGGTGGGGTGCTAGGGATCGAACCCTGGGATTTGAATATGCCAGGCAAGCACTCTACTCCTGATCCACACCCCAAACCCAAAGTCACATTTCTTAGTATAACCACCAATTCTGTGAGAAAAGTCTACTAACAAGTAGCAGGTATATGGTTTACAAAATTCTAATTTTTGCTTGAATGCTCAAATTTTAATCACTGACTACAAGTATTTCCTTGAGGTATTTAGGCTGTTTTTGCTCATTTTTTTGAGAAGATGTCTGCCAAATACCTCTGCCTAAATAACCATTCCAACTTAACCATAATGACAGTCTGTCAGTTGCTCAAGTAAAAGCAGTTAGTTTAGCTTGCAACTCAAGTATGCAAAGACTTTACCTAGACATGCTAACATACTGAACTCTGCAGCAAAAGTGTTTTATACATGCTCTGTCTTGCCACACAGAATGTTAAAAAGATGTAAATCCAAGGGCCAATATTTATTAAAAGTAATATTTATTGCTTCATGAAAAAACATTCTTAAGTGAAATTAGCATTTTCTTTTTTTCTTTTTTGAGGGGGTACCAGGGATTGAATCCAAGAGTGCTTAACCACTGAGCCATATCTCCAGCCATTTTTATTTTGAGAGGATCTCACTAAGTTGCTTAGGGCCTCCCTAAATTGCTGAGACTTACTTTGAACTGCTGATTTTCCTGCCTCAGCCTCCCCAGCAACTGGGTTTGCAGGCATGTGCCACGGAACTTGCCATTTTTTTGTTTTATGGATCAAACCCAGGGCTTTACGAGTGCTGTCAAGTGCTCTACTACCAGGTCACATCCACAGCCCTGCAGTGTTATTATTATATATATATTTTTTGAGGTACTGGGGATGGAACACAGGACCTCTTCCCCCCCCCTCCACCAGGTGCGGTGATGCACACCTATAATCCCAGTGGTTTGGGAGGCCGAGGTAGGAGGATCCTGAGTTCAAAGCCAGCCTCAGCAATTTAGCAAGGCCCTAAGCAACACAGTGACACCCTGTCTCTAAATAAAAATGTAAAGAACTAGGACTATGGCTCAATGATTAAGTGCCTCTGGGTTTAATCCCTGGTACCAAAACTGGTGTCAGAACAGGATAGGTAAGATTCATGATTCTATGAGTTCCTCTCCCATGAGGAAACACATATATACAACTGTAGAAAAGTTGAGTATACACACCAGTTACCTTTGGTGTGATAGGAACTGAATTATTCCCTACCCTCAAGTCATAAGAACTCCTAATCTCTAATACCTTAGAATATGAGGTCTTTACAGAGGTAATCAAATTAAAATTAGGTCATTAGGGTGAGTCTTATTCAATATGAATGGTGTCCTTCTAAAAACAAAATTTGAGGGCTGGGGTTGCGGGGTTGAGTGCTTGCCTAGCATGTATGAGGCACTGGGTTTGATTCTTGGCACCACATAAAAATAAATCAATAAAATAAAGGTCCATTGACAACTAAAAAATATTAAAAGCAAAAACTAAAACAAAATTTGACACAGACACGCACAGCAGAAGATGATGTGAACAGGCCCAGGGAGAAGATGGCCATCTATAAGCCAAGGAGAGGGACCTGGGCCAGACTCTCATTCACAGCCTTCCTCATTCACAGCTCTAATCTTGGACTTCAGGTATCTAGACTAGGACAGTTCTGTTGTTTTAAGTCATCCAATTTATGGTACTTTGTTACTAGCATCCCTTACAAGTGAATAAAAGAAAACTCCCATTTTTAATATTTTAACAATGTGTGATATTTTTACAACTACAGATATTACCTCATGATAATCAGAACCCTTCTCCCCAAATTCTTGGCCCACTCTGAAAGAAAAAAGAGAAGGGACACAGGAGAGGGAAAGGATACTAAGTATAAATATCACCTCATAATTTTTTTTCCTTATAAATATACAAAAACCATTGCCTCCTGTTCCACACCCCTGCACTGCCCTTTAGGGGGGAGGTCCATTTCTACAGGGCACTAGCCCTGGTGGCTGCTGCAGCTGAACACATGGTGCAGGCCCTGATTTGCAGTCACAACTGTATCTGGTCAGCAGAATGTGACCCAGGTCATCCCCCTTCAATCCATACATCTGGTTCAGGCCTAAACAAATGGAAGCTGAGGGTATTGCTCATTATAAAATGTGTATGCATTTAGCAAGAATGAGGCCTATTGAGAGCCACAGCCCAGTCAGAATGATGCCTGGCATTTGCCAGAGGGGATGGTTGAAAGGTGACGCCAGCGAACCATTGAGATGATGATTTGAGTTAAGCTATATATAATTGCTGTGATGCTGGATTGATTGTATTGTATATTTGACCTTTACTGGCGGGCTATAGGGCGGCTCTTGCTACCTGGGCAGCCCGCTACTTTGGAGTTCCTGTGAGTTCTCGTGGGGGTTTGGAGAGATTGGACAGAGCCCGGTGGAGGAAGTGTGGTTCCTATGTGGTGTGTGCAGTGCCGGTGAGAGTTGCTGTTTGAATCTGCAAGGCTTTGTGGCGGGAAACTCAGGAAGGTGATATCACTTGCTCAAGGGCTACTGGCTTGCAGCAGCAGACTGTCCAGTGACCTTGACTGCGTCATTCCTGTACATGGGCTTCCTCCTCACAGGTGAAGAGGAAGGCTGAAGATGACTTGTGGAGCGGCCTATTTTCTGGCATTGGGCAATGGGCACCAAAGACGAGCTCTTCCTAAGGCAGCCTGAGTGGTGGAGGGCTAGGGTTCTTGCTGCAGCTCACTTTCAAACCCTTGGGCAAGAAGGGACGGAAGCAGAGGCCTGGGGTGAGGCTCTGTAGGGGCCTGGACTCCACAGCTAGGCGGGCTCAATCCCTGCCTCTCCTGACCGAAGGTCACCTTTGTTACCCATTCCCAACTTCAGTTCCTCAACTGTATACCAGAGATAATGGGAAGGAAGGGAGAGGGTCAAATATGACCTTAGGACACCTTCCCTGCTCCAGCTCTGGAGGAGCCTTACAGGATTTTCTCTCACCCCCCAACTTCTAGAATCTTTGCTTTTCACCTTTGCCCAGGTGGCTTGGAAAAGCCACCCCTTCAGGGAAGAGTTAAAACTAAGACGGAGGGGCCCTCTATATTTCTTTTTAGGGACCCTACTTGTTTCTCTAGAAAAGGAGTCGAAACTTTCCTTGTGACCCTCAAAAGACCTCAAGCTTTATTTCCTCCCGGGGAATCATCACTACAGCTTTTGAGCATCCAAAGAGTCCATTTGGAAAGGCAAAGAGCCAAGAATGCTGCTCCGAGGAGACCCAGGGTCATGCAGTTTTAACAATTGTCTTCTGTGAGAAATGGTCTTCCAAACCACACACACACACACACACACACACACACACACACACTCTCGTACCCCTGAGGTTTAGCAGGAACTGGTGGAAAACAACTCGGAGGAAGTACAGCTGTTCCCTCTGAGGAGCTCTTGTGGGGAAGCAGGCCTAGGAAGAGGGGGTGTTTCCCGGGCGGTGACACGAAGCATTCCTTTCACTTGAGGCATTGGAGCCCACGGAGCTGCAGTCTCCCCTTGGGAATATGACATAACCTTAGGCTGGAAGGGCCTCACAAAAACAGCTCGGTGTCCACATGTCCTTCTGCAAAGGAAACGCCATCCCATCCTGTGTGGGAGAACTCCCAGGTCTGCTAAGGCTCAACAGCCACCCCATTTCCAGGCAGACAGACACCCCAAAGCCAGCCATCTGGTAGAATGTGTTTATATTTACATGGTACATTTTAAAGCAATGGCTACATTGGTCATACATATTAGAAACCATAAAAAAAAGTTAAGAACTAAAATGTACATCATACACTTGTATATATATTTTTTACACAGAGGTAAAAAGGCTTATTATAAAAAAAATCAATACAACAGAATTTTTAGTATACAGGTAAAGAATGAATTATGCTTCAGGCACTTTAATTTGTTAATGTGAGCAAATAGCTTGGGGGAGGGCTGGGGAAGCTTCTGAACAGAAAATCTTTTGGTTAATGTTTTTGTTACCACAGATACAAAAATAAAAATCTGAATATTTTCTCTCAAATGATTGATGTCAGTATGGCAAAGCTGACTGGGAAAATACTGCACACTGTTCAGCTGCAGTGTGGCAATTGGAGAGACGTATTTACATAAATGTCCCCATGGCTGTCTTTGTGCCCTTAACCGCTGCCTTTGCAAACCAAAAAGGATATGCGTGCAAGATTCACTAGCATAACTCTTGAAAAGTGGGGAAAACCAGCAAGGGGTAAGGGAAGAGAGAACAAGTAATGAACCAAATAGAGGTGACAAACAAAGCATCCGGGATGTGTGTGTGTTTTCACTGAAATAAATAGGGGCACTTGAACTGAGGTCTGATGAAAGTAGATTAGTGTTGTGCTTTGCAGAGAGGCGACCTTAGAGAAAGGCCTCGAGGCGACACCTCAGGCTGGGGCAGATGGTCTCTCCACAGCATTGGAGGCTGGCTAGATGCTCTCCTGGCAGGGAAGGGGTTCTCTTTCCTTCCATTGATACAGACGGACAGCTCTCTGCTCCTTTTCCACACTGGAAAGCCAACTAGTCATTCCAACAAATGAAAACGTCTACCAACTAACTCATAAGCACACTGGGTATTTACACTGATGATCTGTCTAAAAGAAGCATGGCGGGCTCTCAGGCGAGCTGATAGCACTCCCATGAAGGTAAGCATGGCTAGCACTTTCCCAGTACGAATGGCAGACTGGAAGAAAGTCCCTTTCCTTGAAGACTGTTGTCCTGTGTGCAATAAAGAAGGGAGGGGAAGAGGGAGGAGAGTGGGACCAGGCTGTGCCCTCTGCTGGCAATTACCATGGGAAGATCGTGGCGGGAAGAACAGCCAGCATCGACAAGCCTGGTCCCTGTGTTCTCCACGAGGTTCTGATTGTACTATGCTAGGTACAGGTAACCACTGTTCACTTTTCTTCTTTCTTCAATAAGAAGATTTGGCTATTCTTTGCAATATATTAGAAAAATACTCTTTTCCAGCTAATTAGAAGCCTCCTGCACGGCAAGGTGACAGGCAGACTCAAGTCGGCTGACCTAACCATCTATGCACCCAAAGTGGCAAGTCTGGGTGTGGAGTTGCAGGAGAAGACACTTAGGCATCAGAAGGGTTTTTACATATGGCCTTGTTTTTTCCCAAGTATAAATGAAGAATTTGGTGATGTGAAATTGAGTCCAAAATGAAAACAAAAACATAAACCCACAAACAAAAATGCAACCCACCACTCTTCGATTATGACATTTAAAATCGCCCCCCTTTGATAGAAAAAAGTTGCTGGGGCTGGGGGGAGCTCCTATGGTTTTATTCACAACCTTAGTGTTCCTCGAAGAACACTGGTTTGTTTTGAATAGACTATTAGGTTTGCAAAATAATGAGCAAAATCTCTTACTTTACTAACATCTTATTCTAATATTGCTAAGTTTTCAGAAGTGGTGGCAACACAATTTTAAAAAGTTCTATCTTAAGGGGTGAACTGGGGAGGTTCATAGAGACCTGAAATCCCCTTTCTAGCCCTGATCCAAGAGGCTGTGATGCAGTTTAAGGAATTTTTCCTGATTCTCACAAGTTAATCTGAAATTAAGGCTCAATTCTCAGTCATTTTATAGGTGAATGTTTTGCATCAGTGAATAAATTCAACAGATTTGGTGGGGGGAGGGCAGATATGACGATGGGCTAAGGAGAGAAACTGCAGCTTACATGGGAAATTTGGCTTTAGAAAAGTTAAAGCGATATTGTTTTGTGGTACAAGATTGTTAACTAGCTCACCTCCTATACATGACAGCTGACTGCAGGTGAGAACACTTCTGGTCGGGTTTCAGCACTGACAGCACGTTTCCACAGGAACCTGACGCTTGCTAGCAACCAGGCTAGCCAGACTGAGAGACAGGCTTCGGTGCCCTTGGTAAAAAGAACTACAAAACCCACCCCAAACCAGCCGTTTCCACCGCAGACAAATTCAAACTGGAAGAGGCCGGGAGGAGAGACAGGAATCAACATGGATAAGACGTTAGCATGATTACAGGTTGGTAATAACACGAAAAGTCTATGTAGGAGGTTTCTTTCCCTTAGAACACTGGGCGAGCGTGTGAATGGGTGTGTGGCTGTCGCAGTGGGTGCCGGGGAGTGGAGAGTCTACCACGCAGGTGACCCAGGCTGGAATGGTGCCTCAAGGGACCAGGGGGCCGGGAGGCCTCTTGCTCTCCTTGCCCCTTGGAGTGGAAGGGAGCAGGGGAGAGGATGAGTGTGGAAGATACAGAAGTTCCCATGTGGTTGTGGATGGAGGAGGGGAAGGAGAGGGGACCGGAGTCACGCGGCTGCTTTGTGCTTCCCGCCGCAGCACCTGCACATCACTCCGCAGTGGTAGCAGGCCCGAAGGGGCAGGTAACAGCACATACAGGGGGCCAAGAAAGACAAGGCAATAAGAGCCATCCACCGGAGGCAAAACTTCTCGTCGCTAGTATCGCACGAGCAGGGGTCTGTATAGTCTCCCTCGGGGTCCGACATACAGTGATAGAGCATGCTGTCCGCACACCACATACAGCTCACCCGGCGGATGCAAGTTCTCACGGAGTCGGGCGCGTCCTGACAGTGGCCCCTTCGGTTCTCCTCGTGGTTGAACATGTCCCTGCAGTACACGCACCGGGAGCGCTCGCCGTCCTCCTTTCGCCGCCGGGACTTGCCCCGCAAGGGCTGCGTCTTGATCACGCTGCCCCCGCGGCCTTTGGGGTCCTCCCCGAGGCCAAAGTCTGATGAGTCCACGTAGGGGTAGTTGTAGTCGTGCTTGGGGACCTCGCCCTTGGCGGCGAAGCGCACGTAGGAGTCTGCGTCCTCCAGGGTGTCCAGGTATTTGCCCCTGACCGGCGCGTGCCGGTAGTCCTCGTACCCGGTCATCCAGATCTTCTCCCGCGGGTTGATGCGCACAATCTCCTCATCGTCGTCTGGGAAGCTCACCTGCGGGTAGGGCCTTGGCATCCGCTGCCCAGGGAAAAGCAGACATCGTTTTATAGCAGTGGCCAAAAACAAGCAAGAAAAAGGAAAAACAACCCCCTCACCCTCCCACCCCCAATCCATAAAAACTCCCTCCCCTGGGGCTGAGGTTGTGGATCAGCTTAGCGGTAGAGCTCTCGCCTAGCACGCACAAAGCCCTGGGTTCGATCCTCTGCACCACATAAAGAAAACAAATAAATAAATAAATAAAATAAAAACCTCCCACCCCAATCCTCCAAAATGCACCTTTCACCTCAACCAAGGCCTCTCTTTTTAAATGGTTAAATTTGTTCTTTTTAGATTTTGCGTGTCACCCTTGCGCAGGGGCCATGCTAATCTTCTCTGTGTCCTTCTAACTTTAGTATATATGCTGCTGAGGTGAGCACCTTTCTGTAATTACTTAACATCTTGTTGATCAAAGAAGTATTTCAAATTGTGAGTCTCAATCCATTACTGGGAAAATTGATGAAACGGGTAGGGACCAGCATTTTCTTTTCTTTTTGAAGTATGACCATACAGGAAAGGGTGCACATCACAACAGAACAGTCTGAATATTCAGAAGCCCAATACTCCCACGGCAACAGGTGGAACAGGACCTGTCTCCTCCACCTAACCTCCTCAGGTAGTGGGGCACCCCAGGATGATGTCTGACAGTTTGCATTAGTTTTGCCTGGTTTTGTACAGCATGATCTTTCATAAAACTGGTTCTTTTCATAAAAAAAAAAAAAAAGAAAAAGAAAAGAAAAAAGAAATAAGGATATTGGCATATACTGCATGTTTTAAGGGTAACTTCCTTATGTACAAAGTGTGCAAACTGGGCGAGGCAGTAAGCAACTAACTCAGTGAGACCCTGTCTCTAATATTCAAAAATAGGGATGGGGGTGTGGCTCAGTGGTGCAGTGCCCCTGAGTTTAATCCTTGGTACCTCCCCCCACCAGAAAACAAAACCAAAACCAAAACCAAAGCCAAAAAAAAAAAAAAAAAAAAAATCCACAAACTGGGTCACCATATAAGATGCATTTTGTACTCTGGCTCATGTTCACAAGAGAGCAATAGGGGATACTAGGAAATAAAGTGTGTGTAGTTTATATACATATACAGTATATATGTATGTAGGAATATATATAGGAAATATAATGTGTGTTATGTGTGTATACATATATATTATATATATGTATATATATGTGTATCACCAGACGGTGATCCCTCACACTAAAAGGGCTTTGTTAAATGCAGCCGGCAGAATCACCTACACCTCTCCAAGCTGCGCATGGTGATGCACACATGGGCCTGATGGGAAAATGAATAGGAATAACCTATGTAGAGGATCAGCTCAGTACCTGACAAACAGCATGCCTGATACCGGTTGCCATCATTGTCATTATAATACTGCTCCAGAACTGATCAGATGGTAACAGATTTACCCATCACTTTCCACTAGATCCTGAGTGCTTTGAGGGCAGGGGCTGTGGCTCACCAGTTTTGCCCTACTTCCTGTCAGAGTCTCTTCATCAGTTTGTAAGACTCTGGAAAATCACAAACTGGAAGGATTTTGAACAAATCTTGAGCCTTCTTTATTTTTTATTTTGCAAAGAAAGGAAAGTGTAAAAAGTCCATTTCCATCTACTGCTACCATAAAGTGATTTTTTTAAAAAGCACATTTTAAAGTCAAAATATTAGAAAGCACACAATAAAATCTTTCTAAAAAGATTCAAACAAGGGCTGGGGCTGTGGCTCAGTGGCAAAGCACTTACATGCGTGAGGCTCTGGGTTCGATCCTCAGCACCACATTAAAAAAAACAACAACAAATAAAATAAAGGCATTCTGTCCATCTACAACTACGGGGAAAAAAAAAAAAGGTTCAAACAAATCTAACTTTATGTTAAAAAACTCACTTGCCCTGTGCTCCTTTCTTCTCATTTCTAACCAGTGTGGTGGCCCTGTTACCTTACATGGGCACCAGTCCACGCCCCACTACTTGGGAACCTCCTCCACAAAGCAGCCGCTCTGTAAATATTTGTTGAATTATTAAATTCCAGACTCCAGCTCCATCTCCCTTGAGCAAGACTGGGCCTGCAGCCCGCCATGCCAGGGAGCTCAATCAAATGAGCAGCATTTTTTTTTTCGGTACGGGGGATTATGAATTCAAAGGTACTCTACCACTGGGCCACCCCCCCAGTCCTTTTCATTTTTTGAGACAGGGTCTTACTAAGGCAATAAGTCCGGCCTTGAACTTGCTATCCTCCTGCCTCAGCCTCTCAAGTTGCTGGGCTTACAGGCGTGTGACATTCTTTAGCTTCATGCTTTCACAGCAAGCCGGAGACCCTCCAGATACAGGAACACAGAGGCCTTGTGGCCCCCTGGGTGGAGACAGATGTGGGCTGAATGGCCTTCCACCAGGTACCCCATGTCCCTAACCCTGCCTCATCTATGAACTAGGCTTCAGAGGATTAAACCAAACAAAGCACACAAAGGGTGTGGGGCAAGATGTTTGGCACAAGAAATCTCTGAGTTGTGACCATCAAAACCACCTTCAGTACTGGGGGGGGGGGGAGGTTACAAAGTTAAACACAGGAGACCTAGGCTTGGGGCATTTAGATGAGCAGGAGTGGAAAGGGGACATGTCCTGGTGATCTCAGAGAATGAGACCAGTGCTCACCTGGTCGAGGTGGTAATGGTCCGTGGGGTATGGGTCGAGAGTATAAATCCTCCGGTGCTCACAGGATGTGGGAGAGGAGATTGTCCGAGTAGGCTGTTCCCTCTTCTGAGAAGAATTAGAAGAACTGTCTGTAGCTGTCTGTTTAGAGGGGAAGTAACCAAGAGTTAGTTAAAAAACAACCATTAGCAAGGTGCAGCGGTACCTTCCTAAAATCCCAGCTGCTCAGGAGGCTGAGGCAGGAAGACTACAAGGTCGAGGCCAGCCTGGGCGGTTTAGGCCCTGTCTTAAACTAAAAAATAAAAAAGGGTGAAGGTGTAGCTTGGTGGTAGAGTACCCATGGATTCAAATGCCAATACTGTAAAAACAAAACACAATCAACAAACACACCAAGCCCTACCATGCATTGTTGAGTACTGTCTACCCCTGATCTGCGGCACTGTGCTGGACTTCCCACAATCTTGAGTTTATTCTGGCCTCAGCAGGAGACCCCGAAGGGCCAGATTGTCCGAACATGACATGGCTGGCTCAACAAACGGAGAAACCCCGCCACCAGACCTGGAAAGTTGGGATGTTTTCTCAGATGTGGGAGCAGCAACAGGCTGTGGGGGAGGGATCGATACACCAGGCTCCCACTGGCGGGCTCAGTGGGAAGGAAGATGGCCCAGCAGAGGTGACAGTTTATGGTTGAAAAGAAAAGAAACCCATGTTTTCATTATGGGACACAACCATTGTTAATTTAAGAAACTTGGTAGATGTGTACATCATCATGTTGGGGAACCCATCTTTCTAGATTTTTCTCTACTTCTATTTGGCTCATGTGATTCAGGGCTGATGTCTGCTACCAGTCTCCTGATCCACATGCTGATTCCAACATATTCATAGTCCTCTCTGGGCAATACAGACAGACTTGATGGAGAGATCAGAAGAGCTGCTGCCTCCATCTCTGAAATAAAGAACTAAGGTCCTTTAAGCCTAATGTATCTCCTTGCTGTCCCTCAGGTGAGCCCACTTCCAGTTCCTACCCTGGGAGGTTCTTTGTTCAGATGAATACAAATACAGCTTCTCCAAATGAGAAGGGGTACGCTGTTTTAAACAAATCCAGGAGATAAGGGGATGACGTCTCAGAATTCAACAGTTTCTCAATAAATACCTTTGGAATGAGTAGATAAGGGCCCTTCAGTGTGATTCAAATCTCAAGAGGTAAATTCTCATCCAACATCTACATTGTAGTCATCTATTAGGTTCGATGTCACCCTTGTAACATGCTCCCAGCATTTAATTCTCAGAAATTCAGTTTATGCATCCCAGTCATCTGCTCACCCTAACCCACCTCCTCTTTTCTGTGACTTATGCTTGGGTTAACAGTGTGTAGGAAGTCCTTCTCAGAAAGGCACACCCAGTTTTCCCAGCATCCATCAGCCAGTCGGAAGCACCACCTTCCAACGCACCCATCCTACCTCCTCCCTGGCCCTAATGGCCTCCTCCCACGGCACAGTCACATGCAGGGCTCCCCAGACATCTGTCAATGTGAGTGAGACTGGGAAAGGACCTTCAGTAGCTCTTAATCTGCTGATGGATTTGTACAGAGTGGCAAGAAGGCCAGACGCCCTTGACAGGCGTGTCTGCACCCTGCTGCCTCCAGCGAGCACAGCTGAGGGTATATCCCAGCTTGGCCTACACCATCCGTGTCCACTCACATCAGGTCTGTGTAAACCCCAGGAAAGAGGGCACGACAGAGCGGCTCCATTGCTGGCCAAGGCTTATTTCAGATCTATGCTGTCAGACAAATCCACAGTTGTGAGGTGACCTGCACACAAAATATATGGAAGGACATCTCCAAGAAAGGTGAGGGAGAAGTCTAGCGCATGCACCTCAAAACTGGCTATCCTATGACCATGGCAGCCACAGAAGAGCAGCACCCAGATATGCGTGTGAGCAAGATTCTACACACTGTGTGTGTACATAAATGACAACCACCAACCCAGCAATCAGACAGGTCACCTTCACTGCAAGCTCCGGCAATCATGTGGCCTGTGGCCATGTTTTCAACTTGACTTGCTCTCTTGGGTGGGTTTCTCTGAACTGTTAGGGCTTTGAACAAAAGCAGAGGCCCTCTGCCAGGACTCTGGAATCGGGACCTCAGGCTCCTAAGAGAGTGGCTTCTAGAGGGAACAAGGTCAGAGCCTGCTGTTAATGTCAGTGCCTCCACTGTGGACAGCAAAGCGGGTACTGCATTCTGGGCACAGTGGACTCTTGGGAGGTCTTGTCCTCATGATTTAGCCAGCACAGCCCTGGCCACCTACACATGTATTAACCTCTAAAGAAATCCAGCCTCTGGGTTGCACACTGACACAGTGTCAATGGCCATTTATTTAAAAAGTGCCCAATTAAGAAATGTGCAGCCTAATGATAGGTGCTGAACAGAAACAATGGAGCACAATGCCAAAAATAACAGGGTCCTGGCTCAGGAACACCAGATTTCAGCCATTCTGTTAATTATAAGGTGTGTGATCTTTGTCAAGTTAATCTTTATTTTATTTTATTTTTTTAGTTGTAGATGGACACAATACCTTTATTTTATTTATTTATTTTTATGTGGTACTCTGTCGAACCCAGGGCCTTCCACATGCTAGGCGAGCGCTCTACCACTGAGTCCCAGCCCCAGCCCCAAGTTAACCTTTAACTTCAGTTTTCACATGTATCACACAGGGCTAGAATCTTCCTCAAGGTTACTGCAAAAATACAATGACAAATAAAACGATCATTTTCTCAGTTGTGAGTGCTGATGTTCAGGAGGGTTACAGATTCAGTATGCTGATCCTGCACCTGGTCCCCTGCTTAGGTAGCTCCCTTAGAAGCTTTGTCAAGTTTGTCTCTGGACTTTTCCAAGTACATTATTTTACCTACAAAAGATGGTTTGGTCTACTTTTTGATATTTGTACCATCTCTTTCTTGCCTTAGTGTATCTTTGGCAGGGCTTCCAGTATGACATGGAGGAAACAAGTTCCTGCTGGGGATGGCCGCACACCCCTGTAACCCCAGTGAATTACAGTGGAGGCTGAGGCAGTAGGACCACAAGTTTGAGATCAGCCTCGTTAACTCTGCGAAACCCTCAACTTAGTGAGACCCTGTCTCAAGATTAAAACATAAAAGGGCTGGAGATAGAATTTACTGGTAAAATATCCCTGGGTTCAATTCCAGTACCAAAATTCAAACCAAAAAAGTCACTTTGTCTAGTTGGTCCTGGGGATTGAACCCAGAGGTGCTATGCCACTAAGTACATCGCCAGTCCTTTTTTATTGTCCTACCTCAGCCTCCTGAGTTGCTGGGATTACAGGTGTGTGCCACCACACCTGGTTTTAAAAAAGTGACTTTCATGTTAAGATATCGTGACAATAAATCAAAATCTAAAGTGCAAGACAGCGGGTTGAGGCTTCCTGAACTTGTAGATTGGCTGTTTCTCCTGGTGAGGCCGGGAATTGTCTGAATGGAGACAGAAGCTGCCAGCTCTGTCCTCCTGCTGACCCTGAGACCAGCTCCCTCGGGCTGAGTCTACTTTGGCTACTCTTCCAAGTTTAACCCAGAAATTCTTAAAGAAGCACATGCATCTATTTGGGGCACCTGGGCCAGGAGCAAACCTTCCTCATTCAGGGAATTTGAGAAGGGAGGAAAGAATGAGGGGCCAGACCAGCTGAGGAGATGGTTGGCCTAAACTATCCACCTAGGATGGATCCTGGCTGCTGACCGAGTTTCTGGGGCATTCGTCATGAACAGGACTGTGCATTTCAAAGTGACACCAGTGTTTTTGGGACTATGTGCATCCCTTCAAAACCCTTGGGTTTCCCTACTCTGTTTATTCCAAATGGGGGCAGGGACAGAGCTGCAGCTGGCAGACAGAGCTGTGCCTGTGGCGGCTTTCTTAGCAACACCTGGAACTAACAAGGGGCAGCAGGTTTACAGTTTTTTCAAACAGGATGTTCCTGTGAAGCAGAGACCAGGAGAAGGCAGGCAACTGGCAATTTCCTTCTCCACCTTGGGGAGAACGACGGAGGGGACACACCCCACCCTCTAGAGAGGTGAGCAAATGCTGGGTGCAGTGGCACAGGCCTGTAACAGGGACGGAGCTCAGTGTGCCTCAGAGTAGCTGGGGGTTCCAACCCCAATACCCGGCCCGGACAGGCAAGCAGACAAACATCTCTGTGTCCCAGGAACACAAGAGTTGACTGAAGATGTCCAACCATCTCCAAGGAATGTGTGAGCTCTCTAGCAACTTCATGTGTAACCCTCCCCCTCTAAGGACCGTACAGGTGAAATAACTAAGCCTGCGGCTTAACTGGTTCAAGAGTGACAGAATTGATTTAAGCAGAACTTCTGCCCTGACTGCACATGCTGATGGGATTGTGAATTTTTAAAGGAGGCCAACTAAAACTTATAGCCACATATTCATATCAAATTCAGCCGCGTAACTGGTGCAAAGCAGTTATCTGTCCCTTTTCACAAGGGATTCACATTTTTAAAAAAAAGGAAAAAGAAAAGAAATTTAAAAAAAAGTCGGGCGTGGTGGCACATACTTGTAATCCCAGCTACTCAGGAGACTAAGGGAGGAGGATGGCAAGTTTGAGGTCAGTCTGAGCAACTTAGCAAGACCCTGTCTCAAAATAAAAAACAAAGGTTGAGTGCCCCTGGGTTCATTCCCCAGTACTGGGGGGCAGAAGGGGACAAGTACTGCCGCTCCCTGCACACCCTGACTACAGGCCTGCAGTGTACAGGTTGCCTGCACAAGTCAGAAGCCCTTCCCAGCACCCACTTGACGTGACAACCCATGGTCAGTCCTTTCTCCTTTGGCCAACAGCAAGTCGCCAGCTATTTTGTCAACAGGTCTTTGGGAACAGGTAGCTCCAGCTCACCTGTCCTGAGGACCTACATTGGTTCCAGGTGTTCTCTTTCAAAGAGGCAAGCAGAGCAGGAAACAGGCCAGACCCATACTCTTTTATGGTCTCAGCTAGCAGGCAGTTTGGATCTGAGAGGCAGCTGCTCTGCTAGGGGAAAGAGACGACTTTGTCCTAGACTCTGGGACATTATTTTCTTCAGGACCTAGATGATTCTTCCCCCGTGAAAAATGATGATGTCAAAAACAA